AAGTCTACTTTATAGCAACTATAAACCTAAAAATTTGTATTGCATAAATAGTTAGCACGACCATGTTGAGATTGAAACTGGTGTGCAGCGTGAATGCGATACCACTTTGGAAAATAGTTGGAGACTGTACTCAATGTAATAGTAAAGCATAAACCTAATCATTAACACTCCAAGACATCTGCACGAGTGTACTGCTATTCAATTTTATTGATTTCATTTATTTAACGACCCTACTTGAGAAGCATGCTATGAGCCAACAAATGTAATTTGTAGATCATGCCTGTAAAAGTGGCGTGTACCTGCTCATGCAGAAATAAATTATTATTATCAATTGAGAAGGCTTGGGATGTATTTCGAAATTTATTCTCAAATGTTACCGCTCCCCACATCCCTTGGACTACACCAGGTGGGCCGAGAGACGCTGCACCATGGTTCATTATGGAGGTTCGCATCTTTCTCCCTTAGAGAAGAAAAATGGGATAGATTTAGGTTGCTGAGGACTGATAAGACAAAATCTCAGTATCGAAAAGCTCGGAATACCTGTGCCTCGACCCTCCGTAAGTCTAGAAAGTTGTACGAGGAAAAAAGTTTTAAGGACTCCATAGAATGTCCTAAACGTTTGTATTCACATATAAACCAAAGGACGAAAAGAAGGGGAAATATTCCTGCACTATGAGGAGACAGTACTGTCGCATCATTAGTGGATGACGACTTTGGTAAGGCTCAAGTGTACTCAAACTACTTTAGCAATGTATATACCATAGTAGCGCCCTTACCGTCAGCGTATACAGATCCCCCACACATACACTGGATAGCGTGACCATTAAAGAACTCGATGTCTTTGGTCTGCTAAATGAGCTTGACATATGTAAACCCACGGGGCCCGATGAATTGCATCCCAGGCTACTGAAGGAATTATCTAACATCTTTGAGAACCCTTTAAGTATATGCTTCAACTTATCCTCAACCCAGGGTCGTTTAAAAAAGACTGGAAGAACGCCATAGTAAGTCCTGTCTTCAAAAAAGGTACAAAACACAAACCTGAGAATTAACGACCCGTTAGTTTAAATAATGTGGTTGTTAAAATCCTAAAAAAGATTACTCGAAGGGAGCTGTTTGAGTACCTCGATGAAAACCGGATCCTTTCGGAGAAGCAGCTTGGTTTTAGAATAGGTTATACCTGTCTCACTAACTTATTAATCGCTTGTGAAAGCTGGTGCGCTATTAAGAACCAAAAGTTACCTGTAGACGTAGCGTACATTGACTTCAGAAAACCTTTTGACAACGTTCCGCACAAACTGGCTGTTATATAAGTTAAGAAATGTCGAACTGGAGGCAATCTATAGATGTGGATAAAAGACTTCCTAGTTGGGCGCCAACAAAGATTACGGGTGAACTCAAAGTTATCTAGCTGAGAAACTGTACTTATTGCAGTGCCCCAGGGTACAGTTTTGGGGCCAGTGTTATTCCTCTTGTATGTAAATGACCCTCCTCGTCTCCTATCACCATCGGTCTTGCTAAATGCTGACGACATCAAGATATGGAGAACGATACGATGTGAGGGTGATAGCTTATAACTCCTAAATGACCTGAAGAAATTATCTGAATGGTCTCAAACCTGGCAGTTGCTGATAAACACTTCCAAGTGTATTGTAATGCATACAAGTCATCAAGATACAAATACATACACGATGAATAACACTGAGCTACCTGTTGCTCAGGCACACAATGACTTATGAGTTATTGCTAGCCAAGACTTAAATACCTCTGCACACTGCAGTGCAATAGACGCCAAAGGTTTTCGAACTTTACGGTCAATACGTTGGGCTTTTAGTCATGTTGACGCTAAAACGTTTTGACTTTGTATACAGTGTTCGTACAGGTGGCTAGCCCCTGCTCAAAAGACTGCGATTTTGAAAAAAAAGGTCTTGAAAACAGCAGCTAAGCTGATTCCCGGAATAGCAACGCTCCCATATGATGCTCGACTGGCCAAGCTAAATCTATTCATGTTCTAATATCGTAAAATTAGAGGCAACTTGATTACAGTTTTCAAAACGCTTAGTGATAAATTTGCACCTGATATGCCCTCATTTTTCTTGTCTTCCGAAACAGAGAATTTACGAGGACATTCCAAAAGAGTTTGCAAGCTCAGAACAAATTACTTGTCAGGTGACTATCGACTTTCCCATCGAATCATCAACGAGTGGAATTCATTACCTCAGCACGTGGTCGAGGCTCCATCCGTCGACTCTTTTAAAAGAAAGTTGGATCGACCGAGGGATCACCATTGCCAGGACTAACACAGGCCATCAAGCCTCCTGTCCTTTCCAAAATGAAACTTTACGTAAGAATTATATTTATTAGTCTGTCTGGACAAATATCATAATTAGGCTTCACTCGGATGCTTACTACAAGCACTAATGCAGGTCGACTTATCCACTAACCTTTTGATTACATAACGTTATTTCGGTTGCGGTTTTCGTGGTCAGGGAAATCTCTCAAGTGTCGGTTGTAAGTACGATTCGGTGAACTGTTTAATTCTAACGGGAATAACTTACATCCAGAAAATGAAACTCTGTAATGCTATTGGATCTCAACCACACAATCCTCGAAGCCGAACATGCGACAACTGAGGAGATTTACATCCAACATTTAGCATCAAAAAGAAGGTCAAAAATGATGAACGCAAGAACAATCATTGGACTTGGTGTGACTCGGCTGTGAAGGCTCGATGACTATGTGACTGGTTCCTTTTCATACCAAATGTACTACTTTATCCCTATCGTAAACGTATTTTTCAGAAGAGTTAAACATTATATTCCAGACGAAAAAGAGTCAGTGTAGATAGGATGCGAATTCCATGCAGGATTTTGTAGATTATGTAGTCACATCATAACAAATCTACGTTTGTGGAATGGGTCCATTATTCTAGTACTATAGATAAGTGCACTGATATAAACATAGGCCATAATCTAATAACGCCACATGAATTTAGACTAGTTTACTCCTAAGGTTGACATTGATACGTCTACAACAACAAAAATACGGTGGACGGATTTGTGTAAATTAGGGTTAAGGTAAGAGCACCTCTTATCGTAAATGGCTATCGGCTTCCAGATGTCCACCTATAAACCAAAGACCGGATCTTTTAGATGATAGTTAGATACTCAGGAAGGACTCTAACTTATACGTCAGTGTCAATGAGATAGCGGAATCTCGCCATCATATTGGCGAAACGTGAAATAAAGATATATCCAACGGCTACGATTGCTATTAATTTGTGCTGGCTGCAGAATTTCCTGGGAGGTTCAAGGCTTAAGAAACTACATGATTTTCGGCAATTTTCAGAAGGTTTACCATAAGTGTTGTGGTACCAACACCAACTAGAGCTTCCTGTTTCTCGCAGTCTACAAATGGATCATTATTGTGATGAGGTTCTTTAATGAGTTTTGGATCGTCTGTGATCATGGTGAAGGAAAAGAGAACGAGAGATGGTGTTAGAGGGAACTGTAATTTCGCTTTAAATTAACTGAGGCTTTTCTTTGACAGAACAAACATCGATCTTGAGAGTTGTGCAAATCTCTTAAACCCTATCGACATATGTAGCTAGTTCATCTAAAGCGTTATTTTGGAATGAGACGAGAACCACTTACACTAGTTATGGAAGCTTAGATAAAAGGAGTTATCTGGAAACGTCTCGGTCAAATTTTGTTGATCAATAACCGTTCCCATCAGCAGCAACATTTATGTTCCCGAGACGTGTCATAATTCGATATTGTAGAAGGGTTGATCGAATCTTTATCAATCGGCTAGACCTACACTTTTAAATATGACCTTTTTCAAAATGTCGTGAAGTTCGGAAACATCACTACCAAACATGCCTGGTGTAACGTGCTTGTTGAACTTGCTCTGTAATCTTTCCAATACTGTGAGGAATTGTCCTCATGATAGTCAACTTCAGCATCACAGCACCAGACTTTCCTATTTGCAGCCTAGAATGGCGTAAGTTCAAAAGTGAGGACGAGGGAGTCTTAGTCTTAAACGGTTGGGGCGTGAGCTCCGATATAACAAACATGAAGTATTTAAATGTACGAAAAATTCGAAAACACAAGGTCATGCCAAAGTATGCACAAGTATATATATATATATGGGAAGGAACAGACACATAGTTTATCTTTTGGTGTACAACCAAATATGTCAAACGCACCCAGGGTCCGATAACCTTGTTACCTCTAGCATCTTTACAGTCAAGGATTCTAAAGCCAACCACACCAGAATTCAGGAATGAAAGGGTCCGGAGATATATTCAGATAATCAATGAGCCAGGAATTATGTGTGCTTGGTTGACTAGTTGTTGTGAGCTTTTGGGGGCTTAGCGTACTCAATCTCCTATGATTTCTTTCATTTCGGTAAATCATTGATACATTCCACCATTAAGCTACATTTAGGAGGAGATTTACTCAAGACAAATAAGAAAGAGCTTGGATAAAAAAAATGCTGTGAAATTTGTAACAGCTCCGTTCAAGAAGTTATAGAATTTTTTTCCTAGAAGCCATAACGGTGGGATCCTTTACCCTGCCTTATAAATAGAACTAAGTGTTTACTTTGAGTCATTTAGTGCTGATCGGGATTGATCTAAGTTTCATCTCTTGATCACTTCCACTAGAAACCAAATCGTTTTCCTGGAGAAATAAGGAAGAGACCATACCTTCGTATAGCTAGAAACGCTATTCTAATAAGCAGACACAGATTCAAAAAAACAAATAGCTCGACAGCTCTGCTCAACGACGTTCAAAGTACAATTACGTTTAAGGACTTCTTAAGAAACACGTATAATATTTTAAGACTTTATAAAGCAAATTCACAGTAAAAGTTAGTATTAATTCATAAAAGGAAGACTTAGTTATCATTCTTAAAATTTCTTGTTTTAATTTGCCGAGTCCAGATCTCATTGTTGGGGTCTGTTGTCTTGTTGCCGAGTTTCACGTTAGCGTTTGGGGATGGTAGGTTATTTCACTTGTTTTCATTCGGTTTGTTTACGAGTGAGTCTGGATGAGGGCTTTCAACTCTTTTCAATCGTCATTTTAGATGCCAGTTACCTTATTCAATGCGGTCCTCAGACCCACACTTATCAATGTCATGAAGACTTCAACTGTCAAATTCTCTCCGACAGCTGTTTCATGCATTATCCCCAAAAGCCACTTCCATATATCTTCTGTCCGAAAAGATATTGATCAAGCAGCCAAATACATTGGTGCTGGCGCGGCTACTGTTGGATGTGCTGGATCAGGCGCTGGTATTGGATCTGTATTTGGAAGTTTGACTTTGGCATACGCCAGAAATCCTGGTCTAAAACAGCAACTATTTACCTACGCTATCCTTGGTTTCGCTCTGAGTGAAGCAATGGGTCTGTTTTGCCTGGTAATGGCTTTCCTCATTTTGTATGCTTTCTGAGGATGCATATACCCTCATGTACCTAGGCCTATTTTCCATCTCAACCAGACTTCTGGTCCAAATATGGATGTAAGTCCATTGTGCAGATAATAGACACTTAATACTAGCAAAATAAATTGTTATAGACTTGTTCCTCTTTTTTGTGTACGTTATTATATATGGAATGGTCACGAAGCTTTTGGACTGTACTAGTACCTTGTCACGTTGATTTATATTAGTTTTAGAAAGCTTTAGTAATCTATAAATCTTTTAGATGGAATGGCTGTGTCTCCATTAGTTTTCGTTTGTTGAGGGTCTTTTATCATAGATGTGGTTGATGTGAGGAGACAAAGTCTTCCCATGTTTGATTCCAGATAGTTAAGGTGAATGACGTTTTTTTGTCCGGGGTACATCGCAAAAGGACAAAACCACTACAGGTAGCTTCATTTCAACCATGTGCTTTTCCCTATTTCAAGGGTCTAGACTTTCAGGTGAGACTATAACTTATGGATGAACTTTGAGCGACGCCAAAGTGATTGAGTGTCTACCTACTGACTAAAGCTAAATGAGAGTTATAAAGCAGCTTGAAGAATTATGATCCACAGTTTGTGGTTAGAGTTGGGTATTGGATATAGGGTTTCATCACGAGCTGACATTAGCTATAATGCCAAGACGCTTTTGACCAAAAACGGTGAGCGGATTTCGCGTCGTCCATAAATTATAGTCTCGCCAAGTTTCAACACAGATTTGTCTCAAGGTGTTTACGTTCTGGTGACCTGTTGAAATAATCCTAGGTCAGCCGTGTCTTCCTCTCATCGAATGTTCACATGTATCAGGTACCCAAGCATGTCTTATTTTTGAGCAATCGATAGGACTTCGGCGATTGTTTGAAGCTCATAATATTAAGGCTTTTCAGTCTTCAGTAATCAGGATGGTAGGCCGGTGAACCCTGAAAGACCTTCCAGTGAAGGTCCAACTTCTTGAAAATATTCACTGATGGGGCTGATACCACTTGTTCGAGTAAGGCGTTCCAAACTCAGCTGGATGGGAAAAACGGGACCCCACTTTAAGTTTGTCGGGACACGGATTGTGAACATTTTGCTATTACCTCGGAGATTAGTGCTGGAGGGAGCAAAAAGATAGGAAGTGTTAACACCCAAATCATAATTAGAGATGCAAGTATAGGGTCACCTCGCGTCCCACGGTACGACAAGGGGGAATGGTTTAGGCGATTCAAACGCTCATCGTAAGGGAGTTTAGAAGGACTCTTCACTAATTTTGTTTCCACATTATGAGCACGCTCGAGTTAGTATCCTTTATCAGGCATAGGCTAGTTGCTGAGATATAAAATTCGGAACGTTTTCTCGTCAAAGCATTTTAATGCTCGGCGAAGTGACCATAACCCTGAAGTAGTACACTACAAGCTCTATGGATTTATAGCACTAAGGTTTATGGTGTACACGGTGCGACTAGAAGTTAACCTGAACAAATTAAAAGTCAAATAATTATCTTTACAACGATAGCGAAGTGAATATCGTGTGTATTTATCAGGTTTTTTTCCAAAGTTAGTTGAAACAGCTTCTAGACCAAATTAGAAGCATTGACTATGTGGTTAGAGCGTTTGACTTCCAATCATTAGGACGCGAGTTCGAATTCTGCTTCATCTAATCGGCTTAAGTGTCCTGTTGCGTCACTAGCCTTCAATTATAAATTGTTTGAGTAAGTTAACTTATATTTGGTAAGTGATTTACAGATTGTATAAAGTTGGAGAATTTATTTTGATAGAGTTTTGTTCTCTTAGCTGGATGGTTTGGTTGTGGGGCTTTCATCGTTCTTCTGAACGACATCACCAGCACAAACTTCAGATAGAAGTGAAGTGTTCGAATTTCTCCACATGTGTTTCACAGCTTGTTCTGTGCACCTCGATGTTGATTGGTTCTTATCGACCTTAAATTTGTCATTGTTTACTTCTTTGTTTTGGTTGTCTCCCATTGGTTTGATTTTTGTTCCTATATTTGTGCATGGTTTTCCTGATTGGTTGGTAAACTGGATTGATTTCAATATGTTTGTTGATTGCTGATTGACCTGAGTGCCAGGCTTCTAAAAATCCTCTGGTGTTTTTAGAGTATCCTCTGTCTAAGATTTCCACACTTTTCCAATCGAATGAGTATCCGCAGTTGTCCACGTGTATTGATATAAGTGAGGAGATATCATGGCTCCATGACCAAACCATCCAGCTCAGAGAACAAAACTCCATCAAAATCATCCACCTGAGCTACAAATCTTCACCATCTCAAAATCATATGAAGAATTTGTATTGTTTCAAGAATGATGTGCTTCGAAAGTAAATTTGAACGGGCAAATACTCTGTTTTGATGCATATTAGCTCTGGCAATGAATTCTAGAGTATACTAGAAGAATCTAACAGATTAAACATTTAACATTACAATGGATCAGTTGATTTGTCTATCCGATCCCAGTAAATTGACATAAAAAGTATCACTGCAAAAGTAAAAAATCGTTAGATATATAAGACAGCAATTATAGGGTTTATGTTTCCCATGTCCATTCACTAATGTGTTTAAGCCTTGGAGTCATGCAATATTGTGAATTGTTTGAAGATGAGATTTTGAACTTTCATATCCAACTCAGTAGCCCAAATGATATTGTACTCACCACCAAACCTGTGTTACATTCAATCTTACATGGGATTGTTTACCTGCTAAAAAAATACATACTGTGATGAGACATTCGTCGATTGTCCTCTTGCTTCCAATCGTCTTTCAACTGATGATAATGTCAAAAACTGTGAATGGTTTACATAATCAGATGCAAAATCCCAAGGTTATGTATTACACGCTTGAATTCAGAATATTTATAGCAAAATGGAGTTGGTGTAGTGTTCGTGTGTCCGCATTGACGGTAAGTAAATGGATATTAAGGGAATGAAAAGCCACAATCATTATCTTTAGAGGGAACCACAACCAAACTTTTTTGATGAGATTACACTGCTTTAGTCGGGAATTCACAGTGGTTAAATTCACTTCACCAAACCACCAAGTATTCGTGAGTTAACAGCGAATGGAGAAGTTAACGATCATCATACCAGTTTTACGATCCATTGTGTTCCACTTAAACTCTGTCCATGTACAAATAATCACGGTAGAAAATGTCACTAGGTTCGTATGGTTTTTATAGTCCATTGATATCAAAAACTTACTATCAGGCCTAATTCATATCCGTTGTGTGATGGATGAAAAAGCCAGATATATGCTAAGTGGATATGGAAAATTAGATCTAAATGTTCCGTTATAATCGTAAAATAATCAACTTCAAGTATCCATCATTTTAAAGAAGCTAGCGGCTTTCATCTTGCAAGAAGACGAACCTAGTGTATTCTAGAAGTTTAATAGGAGTTTGTTTATGTATTTACAACCAATAATACTGATCGAGTGCGAGCGTTTCATTCTTTCAGTTTATATCGGCTTTAAAAAATATTGGATTTCATGCCAAAATTTGGTCTCTATCCACTAGGCAAGATAATTTTTCCTGAATGGAAGTAGGAACCGTTTATTGGCCTGTTTTTACGTTCTCTTCTGTGAGAAAAGAAATCGGAAAAATGTCTAGTGTATATTTTACGGGCAGGGGAAGAATTTTTCTCTTACTCATTGATCTTTGTTTCCACCAATCAATAATTACAAGTTTACTAATCAACTACACAAAAAACAAAAAATACAGCTTCAAGGTTATTGTTAAATATTCCATTATATATAGAGAAGTCTATCTCGATTTTCTACTTCTCCTGAGCAAATGTAAATTATAATATCTGTTTTCCAAATGTCAAGTGATGAAAATATGGTTTAAAACTGCATACACGAGAATTCATAGTATCTTTGGAAAAGTTTCTGTATAAGGGTCTTCTGTTTATAACGTCCAGAGATCAGGCTTTGGGGGGTCCAAAATATCCAATTAACCACCAAAGGGACTTTCGTGATGTCACCATGCTACTGGAATGTGTTATTACGATTTGAGACCCAAAAGTGTGAAAAAAAGGTTCTGTAAATCAGGAATAATGAGCATTGTGAATTGATGTGAATTCAGGTCATTTTTAATGTTTTAGATCTATATACACACTGAATTGTGTCAATAAAGTGTTTAACAGACGCAATATGATGTGTAAAATGAAGTTATTCGAAGTTCATTTAGTTCAATTAACTATGTGACATTAGACTTAAAACCTGAGGTCAAGACTTCCACTTCTTGTTTGGTTAAACTGATATCAGAAAATTCATAACATACGTGTGTTAAAAATGAATGGCAAAATAAGAGCGAGTTACCAGGTCCTTGGTAAATTAAGGGATCTGATATACAGCTTTTAAACATAAATTTCAGGCTTGAATTAACGGATTGCCAAAGCTTTCTCTATGCACATGTTTACTTTTTAGATTCTCTTAAAACCTGTTTTTCTGACTGAATAATTTTGTAAGACTGTGGTGTAGATAGATGACCGCAATGGACTATGTGCCCAACAACAGAACTAGTGATTTGTTTGCATTCATGTTCGGCTAGCTATGCTGAGTAGTGTTCGCATATGCCCTTAGAAGGACTACGCTTGTAAGGCCAATCAATATAAAGTGTTCACTAAACCAAGTAAACTAGTTGATATATATTGATCTGAACCAAATCACGAATTTTTACTTAACACATCCTTAGACAAGGTGTCAGCTGGAGAAAACAATCCAAATTTCGGTCGAATGAAAGGTCCACTTCTGAGATTTTGACAACTGGTTTCTTAAGATCTTTGCATTTTTATCCCTTTTGAAATCAATAAACATAAATGAAATCGTAGGTACTGTAGGGATCCTTTTAATTCAGGGTTTTGATTCCATATTTTCTTCATAGAACTTGGAAGGAAATCCCCTCTTCACAAGTACTTGTCAGAATTTGTTCAATTCGCTGCAGATTCTCCTAGCTTTTAAAGACAGGAAACGTCTCAAATTTCCCGGACTCAAAGTGTCAATAACTTGTATTCTTAAATTTGTTTCTAATAAGAAAGTTGTACATACTCAAATCTTTAAAAAAACACTTCATTTAATTCCATGTAGTTTATCTATTCCCTCTCGCTATATACATATGGAGTTATCGGTTGTTTCACTGTTTTCTTTTTTTTAAAAAGAAACTTGTTGAAATATATTGTACTGAGAATCCTATATTGTACCAAAAGTATAATACTGAGCAAAGCCAATGATAATAGTAATCTGTGTGTTGCTCATCCCAGGTTGGCTTTCTATATGTCAATCTTTGTAGAGATCCTCCAGATCTTTAGAAAAATAACACCGACAAAATGAAATTCTACGCTCAATTCTAAATAAGGTCTAAATGTATTCGACTTGCAGCACATACTAGACGCTGGCATTATGTTATTAAGGTCAGTATTTTCATCATAGACAAAGAAGGTATCATCCACTCATCCCTTACAGAAATGAAAACCTTCAGTTGTTGATCAGAGATTAGTATTCTGTAGATTGGCTTCGAAACAGTTTACTAAGAGCGTACCCAGCGAAGACGCCATAACAAGATCAATTTTGTTGTAGAATTCATCGTTAAATTTGAATTGTACATTAAAAAGGCAAAGTGTTAGTTCTTTAAAATGACATTTTTGGGATACAGATATTGATGCTGTTATTCCTAATGTACTCACATAAGAAATAAATTGTCTCTGTGAGGGAGATACTCATGAAGAGAGACGCAACAGCCGATAATATCATTTCCTTCCCGGATACATTAGTATAATCTATTAAATCAACAAAAGGAACAGAAAAGGTTTTATGCCTACTGTTCTAATTTGTGCTTGGTCGAATAATTTCCACCAACCGCTTGATAGTTGCATGGTAGTGACAAGTTATTCATGTCTATTATGGAACTAGAAGGTATGTGTTTCCTGTGTACTTTAGAGAAATCATACAGTTGTGGAATGACTGATCGAGACAGTTTATATTGTTCGTAGAGGCCCCCACCAATGACATTCTGTAGAGCATAGGCCACTCACCAGGATTCTGCAACCTACTCTATCCTGTTCTTTCCTTTCTAGCTGTTCCCGAGCGCCAGTTATCTTTTTGATGTCTGTCCTCAATTCCCTACACTATCTATTTCTTAGTCTGGCACTTTTCTTTTTACTTTGAGAAGTTCAAGTTAATATTTGCATAGTGATGCAGCTTGATGATTTCCGTAATATTTGTTCTATCCAAAAATACTAGTACCTTAATCTTAGCGATTTATTACTAAACCTTTATTTTTCAATGGACCAAATAGTTAGGATTTATGCTTAGCTTAATTAAGACACAGAGTCAAAAAGAAATTTTTCACTGAATTATTTTAATTTTATATTCAAATGAGACAATCAGTTTCTTTGATTATCATTTCGAGTGTCTATGACTAATCTCGTAAAATGATCCCGATCTCGATAATCTTAATAATTTCTACTCAATCCAATACAAACAAACATTCATCAAAGAAACATTGATTAAGCAGAAAGGATATGTAGTATGTATAAACTAGAAGAAGGATTACTAAGCATTAGAAAATACTGAGTAAACAACCTCTATTCTCAAAGTTTGTAGGTGAATAGAAGAAAACAGAGCAAATAATCTAAGGAAAGTACGATCATTAGAAAATTACAAACATTGCTATCCACATTCTTTTTAACCTAATATAAAAATCGGGGTATATAAATTACCAAAATGTAAAAAGGAAAAACCCAGTTAACTTTGCTTATGTACGGAACAAATCTCACGGAAAATCGTTCTGTAGTAAGAATAATCAAACGGGTGATTAGGATGTATGATACGCTGACATATGTAACTACGTTTTTTTGGGTAAATTAATAATGTAATTGTAAAATAAAAGATTAGATAAAGTGTTAGGGGGCTTGTAAACTAGGATTTTGTTAAAATTATAAGAGCACCATCAGTCAATAATTAAATGCCTTTATACTGTCCATTCATTGTTTGTCAAACTGTAACATCAGAGTTCGACAACGAAGTTATATGTACTGGGATATAAAACATATAAATAAGTACTTGTGTGCATTTTATCTTAGCCTCACTATAAATAAATCTTTATCTATTTTATTCAATACAAATCTATTCAAAATGAACATGTAACCTATTGGCTCACTCAGATTTTTTTTACTATACATAGTTACAGTTAAAGCGAACCGTGCGTTCTGGTTTTCACTAATAGTCACAATCCAACATTTGATTAAGTGGCAACATCGAAACCATCCGCTCAGGTTGCACATATATCAACAGAGAGTGATCATTTACCGTTCTTAATTTCAACAATGAGAAATCAGGAATTCTTGCAAATGAATTTATACACTTTGAACAAATCAAGAGTTATCTCGACTCAGAGGCTCAGTGGTTAGCACATTCTGTTTTGAAACATTAGTTATTGAATTTGCATCTTAGTGTAAGCATCGAAATTGGGATACAGATACATTCAACTGATGAGTCCTCATTAGAAGAGAAGAGCGTTCTAGATTTCATTGTTAATCATAATTTAACTTATTAAGAACTAATGACATAGTTTAAATTAATAAGTGAGTATGTTTACTCAGCTATCCTTTTACTTGTGAATAAATTCATGTAAGGCTTTGTATCATTTCTATTCTATACAGCTACCTCTTATTCGGTGTTCTGTAATTAGTCTTGGAAATATCTAAGCGTTCATTCAATTGATTAGTAGTCAGCATCGGAATTGTGATTTACTGAAGAGGCCAGAATCCTTAGGTGTTGTACAAATCATTACTTTGAAAAGATAACATATTATAAAATCAATGCAAATAATTCTAAATAAATGTGTTCTCATTTGATAAAATAATAAGCGAATTTTTGCATTACCTATCCACTAAGCTCGGTAAATGATTCATTCAGAAAATTATTTCCCTATAGTCAGGTCGAGCTGACACAAGTTTAACTGTCAATAATATTTGGTAAATACGATATCACTTTCAAAATTTAGTGCACATTAATCATTCTTCACAATGAGTACCCTTCAGATTGTAGGTGTTATTATAAGTATAACACCTCACAGGTCTCCAATTTGGAATCTAATGTTAGTCAATTAACAAGTATAAATAACAAACCTGTACATTTATTGAGACTACGAATCGATTGAAGGTAGACAATCATTTAAAAGATTGAGGCACTGGACAGCCGTTTCGTTCTATTATGAAACTACTCAGCAGTGATCATATACGACCACGCAGACAGAAATCGGACCTAGGACCTCTGGCTCATGATTATAATGAAACTCAAAAATCTCCATAACTCTATGCTGACAAACTTGTATTTACCAGTGATTAAAGCTGAAGTAGATTTCTTGATGTTTAAGAATAATACTGTAACCCGTAGAGATGACTAAGTGGAGAAAGAGTTATTTTATGTATCCACTGAAGATACTGAATAATACATAAGCTATGTTAAAAAACTGATAGAAATGAGAGACTTGAGTCACTATATTCCGAATCAGTGTCTAACTCAGTTCGTATACTCCACGAATACTAAAAGTCAAATAGATTTCTGATGAAGTTATCTATACATAATACTGAGAAAATCCAAAAAATTTATAAAGCAATTTCACAGTATTCTTTGAATATCATTGTCCATATGGAATGCTTTATTTCTGTATGGAAATTTAGTAGCACACATTTAGAATAATTTCGATAACAAATTTGAATAAATAATTTATGAATGGTGGAATTCGTGAGTCAATTAAAGCTAGATCACCATGGAAAACCTGGAAGCACTGAACGGCCGTTTCATCCTAATACGGGACCCCTCAGTAGGGCGCATCCACGGTCCCGCACCCCGCGAGATTCGAACCCTGGATCTATAAGTCTTGAGCCAGGCGCTTAACCAACTAGACCTCTGAGCCGGCATCCAATTGTGGCAATGTCTAACCTCAACTAATCCACGAAATTGCGTGACCATCTTCCATTGTACTGAGGTAGACATCTGTTTTTATCCGAAACAGCCGCCCAGTGCTTCCAGGTTTTCCATGGTGATCTAGCTTCAATTGACTCATGATTCCAATCAAAATCTTAACAATCTCTACAACACCTAAACTGATATTTATCTTTGTATAATATATTTCTAACAAAAATTGTCCTTAATGCCTATATACCTATACATATTGCATATATATGTTGTAGATAATAGCCAATCAGAATGAAATAACCTTCATGGCAAACAATATTGATCATTAGACTAGTTAAACTTTGAAACTAAATATTCAATAGTTCAATTGGATGTTTTTTCTCTCATTAACTTGACTAGAAACTTTATGTTAACAGACAAACTAATTACGCTGTAATAATGAATGAGGCTTACGAGTCTATGATAAAAAAATGTAGAAAATCTAATTAACTTAGTAAATACTTTTCTAAACGTTTATTAACAGACAGTATGGATTTGCACATTTTAATTGATCAGAAATCGTTAGTAATAATATGGTGTTTCTAAGATGGATAACAGTGAGATCGTATTTTATAACACGATTAAGTTTTTGATGTAGTTTTTTTTATCTTCTCTGAGCTGGATGGTTTGGTTGTGGAGCTTTCATCATTCTTCTGAACGACATCATCTGCACAAACTTTAGGTAGAAGTGAAGTGTTTGAAACAAACCATCCAGATCAGAGAGAAGATCTCTGTCAAAATCGTCTACTTTAGCTACAAATCTCCATGATTAAGTTTTATTAAGAGTGACAGAAGTTCACACATCCTATCGATCGATAGCCATCACTGAAAGACAGGAGTAACGTGAATGAACTATATCTTGACTGGTCACTGTTATATCCCGACGAGGATATTGAATGGTAACTGTTGAGAACTACCTATGGACCAATAAGACACATATATTTTTATTGTATAATTATTAAGTAAGTAAACTATGCATATTCATGTTCCTCTTGTTATAAGCTTTATTTGAACCCATAGATTATTATTATACGATTTACCATTCTTAAATTATGCCCAACCTATTAATTATAGTCTTCCACATTCACAGCCACTTTTGGCCAAATATTGTACAAATGTTATTTTCTATTTTATGGTACGTTATAGTCTGTTTGATTGGTATATAAACCCCGTATG